CACAGTTGGCTACAGAATCCAACTGAAAGTGTGCTCATGAATAGTACCTTCTCAAACTGGGGGCAGGTTTGAGAAGCAAGTGGGGTTCATTCCTGGGCCCAGTGCTCTTCACCCTTTTTATTAATGATTTGTATGAGGAAGTTCAGGGAAGGCTTATATTTACAGATGACACAAAACTGGGATAGCTAATATCCTGGAAAACAGAAAGCAGTTTCAAGGTGAACTTGATAGGTTGGAGTGCTGGTCTGAAAACAACAGAATGGGATTCAATGGGAGCAAATGCCAGGTTCTGCAAAATGAAAAAAACCCAAATGTGTTACAAGGTATTGTAATTAATTGTAGCAAGTATGGGCACAAAGGAGTTTTTAACTATTTTATAGTTATAATAATAGTTTTAATATATAGTGATGCCTCGTAGTTCAAACTTAATTCATTTCAGGAGGTCATTTGAACTCTGATTCATGTGAAGTCTAAAGCAATGTTCCCCATTAGAAATAATGGAAAATGAGTTCATCCATTCCCAGATCCTGAACAATACCAACCTTAATAAACTTAAACAGCAGATACACATAATTTAAGGTAAAAATAAAGCAAATGCCAAATGCATTAATTAAAGCTTGAAAACAATTAATAAAATGTAACTATGCATTGAAAAGGCATGCAGTTAAAAGGCACTAAAAAGGATCAAGAAGTCACTGAGAAGGATCGAGAAGGTGGGCAGCTAAAAGGCACTGAGAAGGATTGAGAAGGTGGGCAGTTAAAAGGAACTAAGCATTGTGAAGGCAGGCAGTTAAAAGGCACCCACCGAAAAGGCAGTGAGAACGATTGAACAGGCACTGAAAGGGATCAAAAAGGCATGCAGTGAAAAGACACAGACTCAAGAGATCCTTTCTCAGTGAGAGACGACTTGGGCACACAACCCATGACATTTACACAGCAACCACATTTTTTTCACTGTGCCTGCAGTTTGAACTTAGAAGCAGCGTTCGAACTTTGAAGCAATTTTATCTTGACTCTAACATTCGAACTCTGGATGATTCTAAGTACAAGGCACCACTATATATTTATATTTTTTGTCTTTTTATGTAAACTGGCCTAAGATTTTACAATAATTAGATGATATATAAGAAATTTTTAAAAATAAATAAGATGGAGAATGCTTGGCTCAACAGTCATGCAAGTGAGAAGGATCTTGGAATTGCTGGGTGAATATTTCTTCAAGGTAGTGTATGGTGAACTTTTTGGGATTCATATAATTATCAATATTGGAAAAAATAGCAGGTATAAATTACTTTGTTTTTATTGTTAGGTAAGGTAGATGAATTTATAGCATTTGTAGCATCTTCAGAATGAATGGATGGCTGCAGACATGTTGGTTCCATCTCTAAAGAAATGGGGAGAAAGATTTAGCATTGAATTTTAAGAATACAATCTCATAATATAAAGAATGGGGCAAGTTCCAAGAAAGGATGCTATATACCAGTGAGACAACTTTATTCCATATAGGAGACAAAATAACATTGGACTAAAAGGAAAGAGATTGGAAGTTGTTTAACAGTGATATCTGCTTATGCTACAAGTTTGGGAAAACATGGGGATAGTAATGAATTAAGGAAACATGTTTATTGAATGTATCAAGATTTTACAACTTCTCAAATTCTATTTGCAGCATTAAGTTGAAGGATGAGGGGACAAGCAAAGATTTTACCACAATCATCACACCCTGCTGTAAAGCTGATGCTCAATAATATCAGGCATATTTATTATATTTAAGTATATAATTTGTAGCTCTGCTTTTTATCAAAATTATCAGTGCAGGTAAAATACATATATTGTCAGTAATATATGACAATAGATTGAGCAATGAGGAAAACGGAGGAATAAGACCTATAAACAAATACAGATCATAAAGTCAGACTATCAAAACCCTTCCTAAAGAAATAAAACCATCTTAACCTCCTTCTTACAACAAACTGTTGGATATTTCACATTGCAGCAGGGACCCACTTCCAAAACTTAAGATAGTCCTACTGAAACACTACTGGTCTAGTAGATAGCGGGACTGCCATAAGATTTTCAGTACCTTACTTTAGAGAGGAAGAAGTCATTCTCCTCAAATAGTTTGGGCACAAATCTTCCAGGGTTTTACAGGTAAGCACCACCAGCTTTAATTCGGACCAGAAATAAATTGACAAGCATTGAAGTTTATAAAGAATAACTCACAACATGGCTAATGCTGGGAATTAATGTCTGCTGCATTTTGAAGAAATTGCTGTTTTTAAATAGCCTCAAGGGCTCCCCATGTAAGCAATGATAAAGAATAGATGAGAGATGATAGAGATATGCCTTAGAGCACGGGTCCTCAAACATTTTCAACAGGGGGCCAGTTGAAAGGCAGTGGTGGACACAGACCAGTGAGGTGGGGGTGGCTGCGGGCACAGGCTGGTGAGGCGATGGCGGGTGCGTGTGCGTGTGCGCACAGCAAGGCCGCAACGGGCCCGTGCGTGCACCCAAGGTGGACGTACAGCACAAGAACTGGAATACTTGACTCTGATGAAAAACAGATATGTGAACACTGACTACAGGTCAGTTCACATTTCTTGCTAAACTTGCCTGGCAATATGAATCTCTGAGGGACCTTCCAGTTGAACTCCTATAAAAGTGGAATTATTATCTTCTCATACTACTTTATGGAATCTTCCAGCAATATTTGAGCAAAACCACCAGAATGCAGTAGCACCTTATCTGTCAGTAGCTCTAGGAGTATTGTGTTCCAAGTTATCAAAAGCTAGTAAAAGCTACAGGAGAGTCAGCAGCATCATGTCCACCACTGTCTTTCTCCCAGTGATAGTTATTAGAGCAAGAGTACTGAAACTCACAATGAAGTAAAATGGAAATAGATTTAGATTATGTTTAGTCCCAGAGTATTTACTGTTGCTTGGCTAGCTTAGTTAGAAATGAGATAAGTGACATAACCTCACAAATCATAGGAAGGGAAGGCTTCTTCAATAGATGTCTCACTATTGCCCCTTTTAAACTAGATGGCACCAACCCATCCCTGAGAAAAGCATTAATTATAATAAGACAGGTCACCATGTTTTGCTGACTAACTTGAAAGTAGCTTGAGCAAAAAGTACTCTGTAAGCAAATAAAAATCTTTCAGCAATTCCTGCGAAGAGAAGTATCTGGACATGGTGAAGTCAGGGTCCAAAAGCATGAGAATAATGTTATCTGCAAAATACCTCTCAAAATTGTCACTTCAGGAAACCAAGTGATTCAATTACTCAAATTATCTACAATTAGTATATCACTAAAAATAGTTCTACTGAAAAGGAATGTGTGAACAAAATGGTGGCAAAGGTAAGGCTTATACTAAAACTGTTCAGCAACATCCTGATCTGGATGGAAAATCAGACTACCTAGGAACATGTCAACCACCGTGATGCTGTGGACAGAGAATCATTCTTTCAGCTGAGTATGTTCAAGTTTCAGACTTGAGGGGCAGGGAGAGTAGTCTCAACATCAGAAGTCTTGAAGTCCTATCAGTGGGGGATGTCAGTGGCAATCTGTTCATATTGACAGTCAAAGCGACTTGTTGGTTCATAACAAGTAGGTGATACCAACTGGAGTGCTTCTAAGTAGAATCTGTGACACTAATTAAATGAAATTATTTCTGATTCTAAATACAAAGGAAAGATTGGGAACAGGAAGTAAATTGATGCACAGACTGCAAGGATGAACTAATAGGCTCCTTAATTTTTAGCTCAAAAAGATAACAAAATGTTTAACTCAAAAGAGGTACAGATATTAACTGAGAACCTAAATAAGGAAAAATATGAAGTAGGCAATTTCTTTTGTATATTTCAGTGATGTCTGGAAACTTGTGAGGGCTCAAGGAGGACTAAGAGGCTGCACTTAAGACAGCAATTTCATGAGAAAATTAGGATGGGATGTGGTCTAAGCAACATTTAAAACCCACAGTGACCTGTATTAAATAAGTGATGTCTAACCTCATATGTAGATGGGACCTTACTCCAGTAAGATTGCATTACATTTAAAAAAAATCCAGCCATTATGCTGGGAAAGCTTTCAGACTAGAGAAATTCACCACTGGAGTAAGGAATGTGTATATGTGTCACTTACATCTATTTGCTATTTGTGACCTAGCAATGGATTTTTCAAAATGCTTTAATATAGCATTTAATATAGCATCCTTATGGTGACAATATGAACTACTTATGTCGCAGAGGTCTTATCTTCATTTTGGTAACTGTAGCCCAGAAGGAAGTGGCAAAAGGCTGGAAACAAAGTCAGATTCCACTCTTCTAGTGTGACATTCCAGGATATAGCTAACAGAGTTATTAATCAATTTTACCTATCATGGTAGATGGGTCAGTGGTACTTCCAAAGAAAACAGTTTTCCTAGAAGTATGGTTCCTGTTGACTTTTATGAATAAAATTAGGATAATAACTATAAACTGTTAGCTTGGCAGAGAACTTTCTAGAGAGCTGTATTATCTTGAATGATTTTGTTTCCAAATAGGCATTTCCTCTGTTGAAATAATGGCCTAAAGTTTGAGCAGCATTTGTTTCTCTGATATGAGGTCAAGCTTTTATCTACTACCTCATCTTCTCTTGGTTAACCGCTTGCTTGCTTGCTTGATTTATATCCTGCCTTTTTCCTACAAAGGGCTCAAGGAAGCTTACATCATTCTCCTCCTCCATCTTATCCCCACAACAACAACCCTGTGAGGTAGGTTGGGCTGAGAGTCTGTGACTGGCCCAACGTCACCCAGTTGGCTCCATGGCCGAGCGGGGGCTAGAACCCAGATCGTCTGAGTCCCAGTCCCACGCTTTTAACCACTACACCACACTGGCTTCCTGCTTTCCTGTTTTCTAACCTGGAGGGAACCTTATTATTGAAGGTTGAACCTTATTGAACTTTATTAAACCAATTTTAATTGTATAAATACAGTATTATGATTATTTTCCCTTTTCAGAAAAAACATAGTGTCAACAACTCAGCTGTCCATAGCAACCCCACTTCAAAAAATCAGTGTACTCATGCAGGAGAAGACAAAAATGCTCAGGTAAGATAACTTGTTTTCCTCCTCTAGATGTTGTTGTTGTTAGTTGTGAAGTCGCATCCAACCCATCGCATCCCCATGGACAACATTCCTCCAGGCCTTCCTGTCCTCCACCATCCCCCGGAGTCCATTTAAGCTCACACCAACTGTGTCATTGACTCCATCTAGCCACCTCATCCTCTACCGTCCCCTTCTTCTTTTGCCCTCAATTGTTCCCAGCATTAGACTCTTCTCCAGTGAGTCCTTCCTTCTCATAAGATGGCCAAAGTATTTGAGTTTCATCTTGAATATCTGGCCTTCTAAAGAGCAGTCAGGGTTGATCTCCTCTAGGACTGACTGGTTTGATCTCCTTACAGTCCTCCTCTAGTACTGTCCATTATAAATTGAGATGTTAATATTCTTCACATTCCACATTTAAAAAGCCAACATAGCACTTGGTATTTTATAGAAGTTGAAGCATTACTAACTTTTAATTGGAGTATTTAAAATTAAAAATAGTATTCTTTTCAAGTTCTCTGTACAAAACAAAAACTATATGCCACACCACAACCTGCTGTATCCAGTATAGGGGAAACTGTGTGTGTGATCCTGTGGTTATGTTTACATAAAGTGATATGCCACAGTTCCAGAGAATTACTCTTAACTTCAGTAACTAGGAACTCACCAGGGAGAAAGGGGTTAGTGGTACTCCTAAACAAGCTAGGAATCATTAGCCAACTTCAGACTTTGGCTTCAGACTCTTAACTTGCTTGAGGAGTGAAAAACTAGGAGTCATAGTTTGGAAGCATTGCTAAACTCTCCTGGTGGTTGCTGCTTACTGATGTGGTTCCTACTGGTAGGAGGTATTAAATGAGGAGCAATCAGGTGGTGTGCTCCAGGAAGCCTGCTCATGAATGATAAACACAGATAGAGCCAATGAAAGGACCTTCAGAGCTGCTTCTTGGTGGAACTAAATATAAAGAGGGAAATGCATGGTTTCCAATCCTGTGCTTAGCATTGTAAGAGATGTGGGTCTTGGTGAGCATTTGCTTGTGACAACTGTTGGTGGTAGACCTTAACATTTCTTCTCTGAGATTTCTGAGCAAGATGGCATTGAGCAATTTTCAGAGAACTAGCAATATTTCCATGGTAGTATGCTTTGGAGAAGGGTGTGTATAGCCTAAATAAATAAGTGGTGTGCAATTCCTTTGCTATTTAATGTAGTAAGGAGCATGAGATGCAGTAATGCTTCTAAAGGCTCTGAATTTTCCAGGGCCTGCAACTGCCACAACATATGTCTTCTCCCACTTCCTCAGAAGACACAGAAGAAACCATGGTATTTCTAAAAACAGTGGTCTCTGGCCTAACCTCACCTCCATTTTGCAAATTTAAAGTTAAAAATGATAGATGCAGTTCAAATGATGTATTTTGCATCCCATGTAGTTTTGCCTACAGTTGGCAACTTTAGTCTTTATTTCTTTAAAATACCTAAGTGATGGAGTGCCCCAAATAATAAAATATTCTCACTTTTGGCAAAAAGGGTTAATGCTATTGTGTATTACAGCTAGTTTACATTGAATTGATCAAACAGATTTCAGTAGAACTAAAAAATTACAAAGCAATTAGTGTTCCCATGTATATAAATTAATATTTGATTATTTAATATTTAAACAAACATTTACTATTTAATTATTATTTATATGTTAATATTGCAAAACAATTAATATTGGTAATAATGCTTCAGTTCAATGAAGCAATTTTCCTGCTATTTTTAGACAAAGATTATGCATATGATCAAATGGAATAGCACTAAGAATTCCAGAATTTGGAAGCCTTTATTATTCAAGGGAATTTTAGGAGTTCAGTATATCTACAATTTTCCCATAACTAAAATTTAATTAGTACAAAATGTACAAGTTTCTTCAAGAAGACAATCATTTCTGTTACTTCCTTTGTTTATGCTGGGTATAGAATCATTAAAAATAATAATCAGGATAAATTGCAGTATAAAAAGTATGAAAGCTAGACATGATTCAGTCAAGATTATTTACTATGCAGATGAAATTATGCTGACTTTACATGATTCTGCTCAGCAAACTAAATATTTATTTAATTTCTCACTCAGTAATTTAATTCCAGGATACAAAATAAGGATGGATCAGAAATAACATGCCTAAATATGTAATTATCAGTTCAAAGGCAAATTTTACAAATTGGGTAAAAGTCTGGAAGAAAGGTACCTGAGCAAAAATGCTTGACTGCTCCATATTACTTTGGGAAGTGAAATGTGCAAACTCTTAAATAACACTAAAGAAAGGTTTAAAGGATAGTCTGATGTAGGAATGGCGAACATGTGTCCCTCCAAGTACTGTTCTACTGAAACTTCTATCATTACGCAGCATTGAATGTATTGGCTAGGGTTGATAGGAGTTGCAGACTATCAATATATGGAGGGCCAAAATGGATGTTGGCAATGTGGAATCATGGATGCAGATTTATATATTGCTCCAAAGCCCAAGATTATTGTATTCAGATGAGACAAATAACTAAACAAATGCCAAGTTCTGCATTAGCAAAAAGAAACCAAATGCATCATTACAAGATGGGAAATCCTGGCTCAACAATACTGCAAGTGAGAAGGATCATGGAATTGTTGTAGATTACAAACTGACTATGAGTCAACAGTGTGACTGCAAAAAGAGCAAATGCTCTTTTGGGCTGCATTAATAGAAGTCTCATTTCCAAATCACATGAAGTACTAGTTCCCCTCTACTCAGCACTGTTTAGGGCTCATCTGGAGTGCTGTGTCCAATTCTGGGTGTCACATTTTAAGAAAGATCCAGACAAGCTGGAAAGAGTTCAAAGCAGGGCAACAAGGATGATCCACAGACTAGAAGCAAAACTCTATGAGAATTGATTGAGAGAACTGGGCATGTTTAACCTCAAGAAGCAAAGACTGAGGAGATCTGATAGCACTCTTCAAGTACTTGAAAGGTTGTCACAAAGAGAGGAGTTCTTCTCAATCATCCCAGAGTGTCGGACAAGGAATAACAGGCTCAAGTTATGGGAAGCTGCGTTCTGGCTGAACATCAGAAAGGACTTCCTGACTGTTAAAACAATATGACAATGGAACCATTTTAACTGGGCAGGTTGTGAGGTTTCACACACTTAGAGGCATTCAAGATGCAACTGGACAGCCATCTGAGAGGGATGGTTTAACTTGGAGTCTTGCACTGAACAAGGGGTTGGACTCGATGGCCTTCATGGCCCCTTCCAACTCTTCTATTCTATGATTCTATGAAGATCAGATTTGTTGGACTAATATTAACTTACATAGCATTATGGATGAATCACGTTGTTGGATTCAGCCTCTCTCTGTTAGACTTGCCAGTAACTTGGGATTTCAGTCAATTTACATTTCATTATGCACAACTTACAAACAAAGTAACATTGCTTCAGGTTATAGGGCAGATCTTTTTGTAGTCAATAAAGAGATTTGGGGAAGTACCGGATCAGTTTCTTAAGTTACAACAGCATGAAAGGAAGCTGATATGAAAGTTTTAGAGAAGTTTTAGGAACCTTCCCAGTTCAAACCAAGTGGACCACTGGGCTTGGGGGACTGGCTTTTTTATTACACTGGGTTGATCATCCTTTTTTATCTTGGATCATTTTATCTCTTATTCCCATTTCCTCCTTATCCATTTGGAGCCTGGTACAACATAGTATTCAAATCTAGGCACCATTATTCTTCCTTATTCCCTGCCCCATTGATAATCTTGGTTGCATCTTCTCCTTCAAGTTGGACTTCTTGAGGCATCTCTGCAAAGTGTTGGGCTTCATTTCTACACAGGCAAAGAATGTGAAAACTTGATTACTAGTGTCTCATTGACAACTTAGGATGCCTTTTCAGTACTTGAAAAAAGATCCTTGTTAACGTTATTTATTTAAAGTACTGGAAATTACAAGTGGAAACAAACTGACAGAAACAGTTCATCAAAGAAGTGGACGGGAGGCATTCATTTTCTTTTTTCATTTATTGGAATTACTATTTTGGGTTAGAAGTTTAGGTGTTTTTGCATTTAGGAAATGGTAAAGCATATACTTTTTAAAAGCTGTGTCATGGTTGATCGACACACAAGGCTATGACCAATCCCTGACACGTAGATGTCATACTCACTTTGTTATTGTTAGTTGCAAAGTTGTGTCCGACCCATCGCAACCCCTTAGGCAACATTCCTCCAGGCCTTCCTGCCCTCCATCAACCCCCGGAGTCCACCTGAGCTCATGCCGACTGATTCAGTGACTCCATCGAGCCATACTCACTAAGAGTAGGCAATATATTATCTGTTTCTGGAAGTGAAGGCAGCTGGAGCAGACAAATGCTGGGAGCAGTCTCCAACAATTATATGCTGAATGCAGTACCTAGGCCACCAGTTAGTATATGGTATTATTACCATACTGTACCTGCTCTGTCATCTTATCCCTAAGATTTCCTATCACTTTATCGTAAAATGACCAAAAAAAGTGCTAGAGCCTTTAGCAGGTGAGCTAACAATTTCTTCTTTGACAGAATGACATCAGGATAAAGTTTGAACATAATGGGGAAAAGCGGTAAGTCCTTGCCTTCTTCTTTTTGCATACTTTATTGCATTTCAGATATTTTGTTATATAATCTAAGCTAGCCTGATTTTTTAAAAAAAAAGTTAATTGTATTTTGTGAATTAAAGAATTTTAAGCTTATATAAATACCAGAAGGCTTCAGTTAATCTTAGAAGGGAGGAAAGGAGGGGTATTCAGTATCCTCCCTTTCATCTAGGGATTTGCTAGTACTAATAAGGAATTCTATCACAACATTCCTCTAAATTCCTGGATCTACTATGCCTGGAAGCAGAATAAAAGGTGTCAACTTAGCTCCCTAATAACTACTAAATAATGCATGCTTCCCTTTTCTCTTTTTCTCTCCTACGAAGGGAGCTTTACCTGTGGGCCATGTGTCCATAGGACCATGTTTGTGCTCTTTTCTGGTGCCTAATATGAGCTTTTTCCTCTCCTCCCGGATGGATTATGACGGGGAGTGAGAGTGCAGAGCAATGCAACCAGCATACAAAATAATGTTCACCTTCCAACCTCTGAATATTTTTAGAAGCTTTAAAGAGCTGGTTGGGCAGAACCAGCACAATCCCTGATTCCTAGGTATCAGGAATCTTGCGAATCATGCCAGCTCTTCAAAAATATCACAGATTTATAAGAAACATTGAGGTGTATTTTTTTTTTCCTTTTCTAACACAGAGTATCACTAGATCTATAGTGGAATCTAGTGAATATCTATTCAGAGTAAGTCCCATTGAACACTCTTATTACATTTGCACATGACACTAACTTAGCCTGGCAATAAGCCATTGTGGATTGGTTGTCTTATGAATGACTCACTGTGAGTCCAATAGATGTTCAGGTTCACTGGGAGTAGTTGCCCACCCATCCCCATCCTCCCGCAGGTATCCCAGAGGACACCAAGAGAGGATGAATTTTCTCCCTTCTACCCACCACAATCATAAGTTTTTTTTGTTTGTTTCCTACAGCTTCCCCCCTCCCTTCTTTTTCTTCCACTGGAGGTAATGAAATCCTCATTTTACATACCCTATTTTAACAGCCACCAACAGCCCCTTTGAAGTGCTTAAGAGGCACTTTGGAATGTTTGTCTGTGGCCATCAGTACCTTAAAAAAACTGCACAGAACTAACTAACTCCCTCCCTCCCTCCCTCCTTCCACCACATTCAGCTGTGAATATTTGAAGCCTCAGGTAGGGTGAAATCAGGGGATGCTTGCTGACAAGGTGCAACCCTGGTCCTTGCTCAGAAGAGAGAGATTCTATTTTTTTTCCATCTGTTGGTTTCTCCTAATAGCTATACAAAATGTGCACCAACTGGACTAGGCTGGGGTGCAGGAAGTTGAGGCTTTTGCTATAAAGGGGGTGCAAATCCTCAAATACCCTCTTTTTGTGTGTAAGCAGCCCTTACCCCTTTGGTTACGCTTGAGGGCTCATCCTTCAAATGCTATCGAGAGAAACCAAAGGTAAAAAGAAACATTTTGAGGCCTTTCCTGGGCAGTGTCCAGGATAGGTGTCTGCTGCACCTTGACAAAAGATCACAGTTGCATAAGTGCAGCTAATTTTGTTTTTTAAAAAGTTGTGCACCTATTTTTCCAGAATTGTTTTTAAAGGGTTCTACTATCCCCTCCAAGGTTCTTCTCGGACACTTTGTAAAGGCTGTCAATGGCTGTCAAAATGGGGAGCTTGCTAGCCAGGTTTGCAGTCTCCAAAAAAGAAAAAGCAAAGGTAGCTAGCTCAAAACAGCTTCTAATCATGACAGGAAGGTAGAGGAATTCCAGTGCTCATGCCCAGGGGCACAATATTAGATTCCTTGTATCCCTGATAGGGTTGTTTTCCAAAGTTCAGATAACATGGCAACCCAACAACAGCCTCTTACAATCTTGGATGGAGAAGATAAGCCAAATGAAACTGAATATAGTAAACATGAGACCAGTTGTTTTCAGGATAAACCAAAGTGTACTCATATTACACTATGTTAAAGTAGGATGATGATGGGTTCTTTAGAAATATATGTAAAAGTGGAATACAAAAGTGAGAATCAAATTTAACATTCATTTCAGAATTCAAGTATGCAAAATGTTACTAAAGGCCTCATGATGTACCAAGGGAATCTCCAGTACAAGCAGCCACAACCAGGAGATACTGCATTTTTAATAAAGTGTTGACAAGAACGGGCTTCAGGTGTCCTATTAGGACAGGTTGATGTTCTATGTGGCACAAGTGCAGTGCTTTGGGATCTGCAGTGCTGCAGTAATTAGCTTTGAAACCCCCCACAACTTGTTCCCCTTTTACCTCTTCCTGGTCAAGCAAATACAGTGGTACCTTGGCCCATGAATGCCTCAGTTCACGACCAAATTGGGTTGCAAACAGAAATTTCTGAAAAATTTTGCTTCGGGTCGCAAACTCCGCATTGGGTGACAATCACAACCGCCTCCCCCCTGAGCATGCCCGTTATCAGGCCCATCTCCCACAACATGCCTGACTCAATTTTTTGAGATTAAAAAAAGTAGTTACAGAACGGATTAACCTTATTTGCATTGAACTTTATGAGGAAATTTGACTTGGCTCACGACCAGAGTCCTGGAACGGATTAAGATTGTGAGCCAAGGTACCACTGTACCTTTGAAATAGCATGGAGTGCTCAGTAGAATGTGTGATGTTTGTTTTTCATACACACTGAAATGAAAAGCACAGTTGTATGCAAGCAGTAATTAAGCAGCTAAGTAGACTTGATGCACTTGTCTGTGATTGATTTCACTAGAGTTGCCAGATTTAGCCACGAATATTTAACTCAGAAATGGTCTCCCTAAAACTACCTAAATCCATAATGATTTGCTACTTGAAAAAAATTATTAGGGGAACAGAGCTCAAAAGCATGTTTCTGTGTATATTTGATGTGCTGTTAACCTTTAGGAAAGAGTAGCGCTTGTGACTCCTTCATGGATCACTGCCTTGTTGTGGCGAAGGTGCTTGTGTAGCTCAATGAAGCTATGAGCTATGCTGTGGACAGTACCAAAAGACAAAAAGATAGGACGCCGGAAGATGAGCCCCTCAGGTCGGAAGGTGTCCAATATGCTACTGGGGAAGCACGGAGGGCTAGTACTAGTAGCGCCAGAAAGAATGAAGTGACTGGGTCAAAGCCGAAAGGACACTCAGTTGCAGATGTATCTGGTGGTGAAAGGAGAGTCCGATGCTGCAAAGATCTGTACTCCATAGGAACCTGGAATGTAAGATCCATGAATCAAGGCAAGCTGGATGTGGTCAAACAAGAGATGACAAAACTGAACATCGACATCTTAGGAATCAGTGAACTAAAATGGACAGGAATGGGTGAATTTAATTCAGATGACCATCAGGTATACTACTGCGGGCAAGAATCCCTCAGAAGAAATGGAGTAGCCTTCATAGTCAATAAAAGAGTAGGGATTGCAGTGCTTGGATACAATCTCCAAAATGACAGAATGATCTCAGTTCGAATCCAAGGCAAACCATTCAACATCACAGTAGTCCAAGTCTATGCCCCAACCACTGGTGCTGAAGAGGCTGAAATTGACCGGTTCTATGAAGGCCTACAACACCTTCTAGAATTAACACCCAAAAATGATGTCCTTATCATCATGGGGGATTGGATTGTTCAAGTAGGAACCCAAAAGGTAACTGGAATAACAGGCAAGTTGGGCCTTGCAAAATGAAGCAGGGCACAGGCTGGTAGAATTTTGTCAAGAGAATATCATGGTCATAGCAAACACTCTTCCAACAACCCAAGAGATGACTCTACACGTGGACATCACCATACGGTCAACACAGAAATCAGATTGGCTATGTGCTCTGCAGCCAAAGATGGAGAAGCTCAATACAGTCAGTAAAAACTAGACCAGGAGCTGACTGTGGCTCAGATCATGAGCTTCTTGTTGCAAAATTTAGGCTTAAATTGAAGAAAGTAGGGAAAAGCACTAGGCCACTCAGGTATGACCTAAATCATATCCCTGAAGAATATACAGTAGAGGTGACACATAGATTGAAGGAATTAGATCTGATAGAGTGCCTGAAGACAGAAGTTCACAACATTGTACAAGAGGTAGCAACTAAAGACATCCCAAGGGAAAAGAAATGCAAGAAAGCAAAATGGCTGTCTGAGGAAGCTGTACAAATAGCTGAGGAAAGAAGGGAAGTGAAAGGCAAGGGAGAAAGAGAAAGATACACCCAGTTGAATGCATAATTCCAGAGAATAGCTAGAAGAGATAAGAATGCCTTCTCAAATGAACAGTGCAAAGAAGTAGAAGAAAACTATAGAATAGGGAGGACCAGAGATCTCTTCCAGAAAATTGGAGATATGAAGGGAACGTTTCATGCAAAGATGGGCATGATAAAGGACCAAAATAGCAGGGCCTTAACAGAGGCAGAAGAGATTAAGAAGAGATGGCAAGATTACACAGAGGAACTATACAAGAAAGAGCTTAACATCCCTGATCACAATGATGGCATGGTCACTGACCTCGAGCCAGACATCCTGGAATTTGAAGTCAAATGGGCCTTAGGAGGTCTGAGCAACAACAAAGCTAGTGGAGGTGACAGTATTCCAGCTGAGCTATTCAAAATCTTAAAAAACAATGCAGTAAAAGTGCTACAGTCAATATGCCAGCAAACTTGGAAAACTCAACAGTGGCCACAGGATTGGAAAAGGTCAGTTTGCATTCCCATCCCAAAGAAGGGCAATGCCAAAGAATGGCAAACTACCGCTCCATTGCACTCATTTCACAAGCTAGCAAAGTTATGCTCAAAATCCTACAAGCTAGGCTCCAGCAGTATGTGGACCGAGAACTACCAGAAGTACAGGCAGGATTTCGAAGAGGAAGAGGAACTAGAGATCAAATTGCCAACATATGCTGGATCATGGAGAAAGCTAGGGAGTTCCAGAAAAACATCTACTTCTGCTTTATTGACTATGCTAAAGCTTTTGATTGTGTGGATCACAACAGATTGTGGCAAGTTCTTAAAGAGATGGGAGTCCCAGACCATCTTATTTGTCTCTTCAGAAACCTATATGCGGGTTAAGAAGCAACAGTGAGAACTGGACACGGAACCACTGATTGGTTCAAAATGGAGAAAGCAGTTTGGCAAGGCTGTATACTGTCGCCCTGCCTGTTTAACTTATATGCAGAGCACATCATGAGAAAAGCAGGACTAGATGAATCACTAGCTGGAATTAAGATTGCTGGGAGAAATATCAACAACCTCAGATATGCAAATGATACCACTCTCATGGCAGAAAGTGAGGAGGAACTAAAGAGCCTCTTGATGTGGGTGAAGGAAGAGAGTGCAAAAGTTTGCTTGAAACTCAACATTAAGAAAACTAAGATCATGGCATCTGGTCCTATCACTTCCTGGCGAATAGATGGGGAAGAAATGGAGGTAGTAACAGGTTTTATTTTCCTGGGCTCCAAGATCACCGCAGATGGGGACTGCAGCCAAGAAATTAAAAGATGCTTGCTCCTGCGGAGGAAAGCTATGGCAAATCTAGACAGCATATTAAAAAGCAGAGACATCACCCCGCCAAAAAGTACGTATAGTCAAGGCTATGGTTTTCCCAGTTGCAATGTATGGCTGTGAAAGTTGGACCATAAGGAAGGCTGAGTACCGAAGAATTGAGGCCTTTAAATTGTGGTGCTGGCGGAGACTCCTGCGAGTCCCTTGGACAGCAGGGCAATCACACTGGTCAGTCCTAGAGGAGATCAACCCTGACTGCTCTTTAGAAGGCCAGATCCTGAAGAAGAAACTCAAATACTTTGGCCACCTAATGAGAAGGAAGGACTCCCTGGAGAAGAGCCTAATGCTGGGAACAATAGATGGCAAAAGAAGGGGATGGCAGAGAATGAGGTGGCTAAATGGAGTCACTGAAGCAGTTGGTGTGAGCTTGAGTGGACTCTGGGGGATGGTGGAGGACAGGAAGGCCTGGAGGAATATTGTCCATGGGGTCGCGATTGGTCGGACACGACTTCACGACTAACAACAACAACACGCGCTTGTGAGCTAAGTTGTATTTATACAATTTCAAAGTACTACAATTTCCATTTATGATTGTATTAATTTTTTATTAGTAAGCAGAAAATGTTGTTGTGGGCTACCTTTAGTAGTTTTTAAAAAAGTAGTATTTCTAACTAATTGGATAGTTTTAGCGACTTAGCTTTCCAACTCTTATATTATCAAAAGATCATATTGGAAAGCAGAAATCAATTTGCTGCTTCATAATCCCATCCCACATGCATGCACCCTTTGTTGCTTTATGACTGAAGAGCTCTTTGCATCACAGCTAACATGGATGGTTTGTAACAAAGGTTACCTTACATGTCATGTTATTCTTTTTTCCCCCATATACCCCAGTACGAGGTACATTGGGATAAATGAGTGAAGAATATAATCTTTTTATTTGTATTCTTATGCCTCATTGGTGGTTCATGGTGGCCAGAAAATAATTTTTATTTCTATATAGTCTTGTAGTGTTGGTACCTTCTGCCTCCTTTCCTTGAGAATTGCATTAAGGAATAGGGGCATAAAGTACAGTGCCACGCCAAGTTTACCTTGAGTGGGGATTCCTTATTGCTCTTTCTAACCAAAAGAAATGGTGATCCTGAGAGAAGTTGTTGCCTTTCCCCAAGATGAAACCTGATGATCCTACATAGTTAATTGCTCATCTGATTTCAGGAAGCAATCTCTCAGTATTGGCTTTTCCAGAGACTCGTGTTGTCCAATCTTAATATCTTGCTATCCCATGCCAGAATTATCCCTTTCACCCGGCCTGTCTTCTATGAAGAAGTGCAACAGAAAGTGAAATCAGCTTTTGGGCAGCCGCTGGATCTCCATTACATGATTAATGAGGTACTAACTTTTACCAACCAGTGCTGTTCAGATGAAAGAGGGAAATATAGGAAAGTATTCTCTTCACAATTCTGAAACGTCCTTGCACCCTCAGGAGGGGGGACACTCACATACAAAAATGCAGTATGGAATAGAATATATTTATTTATTTTCTATGCTGCCCAACAGCAGAAGCTCTTGGGCAGTTTACAACAACACATTAAAAATGAACCATATTAAAATACCATAGAAAGGTTATAATGAAAACATTAAAACCATATTCATATCCCATTTAAAGAATTGTGATACCTTAAATGAAGTTAATCTTAAGACCTGTTTAAGCAGCTAACAAAGCCCCTTTAAAACAATTAGATCCTCTGCAATAGAGGACAGTCTTAACCTGCTGGTCCTCAGTGGGAGGCTCATTCCACAACTGCGGGACCACCACTGAAAAAGGCCTTGTTGCCACCAGCTGAGCCTACCTCGGAAGTGGCAATCAGAGGCAGGCCCCAGATCTTGACTGTAGTATGCAGGTAATTATGGTCACAAACTATATAGAGCTTTATGTGTTAAAACCAACACCTTAAATTTGGCTCATAAGCATATAGGTAGCAAATGCAAATAGGCCAGATTTGGTGTTATATTCTCCCACTGTTTGGTCCCTATTATTAACCTGGCTGCCACATTTTGCACAAGCTTGAGCATTCAAAGAGTTTTCAAGGGCAGCTGCACATAAAGTGCATTGCAGTAATCCATTTCAGAAATTACCAGAGCATAGATTACTGATAGGCTTTTTTTGTCCAGGTAAGAGTGTAGCTGAAGTCAGCTAAGCATCAAGTGACACAGATGGCTCAAGGAAGAACCCCCAAGCTATGAACCTACTCTTTCAGGCAGAGTACAAACCCATCTAAAACAAGTTGAGCACTCTCCACCCAGACAAAGGAACAAACCACCAATCAGTGTTGTCTGGATTGAGCTGCAGTTTATTAGCTCTCATCCAGTCCATCATCACAGCCAGGCACCAGTTTGGCACATCCACAAGCTGACCTGCTGAGGATGAAAGGGGAACTAGAGCTGCTTGTCATCAGTATACTGAGGACAGTGCACTCCAAAACTTCAGATGATTGCACTCAGCAATTTCATGTAGATGTTAAATCGCATGGGGGACATAACAGACCCTTAAGGAACTCCATGCTGGAAAATCCAAAGGGTTGAGTACTGTTCCCCAAGTACCATCTTTGGGAGACAGCTCTCCCAAGTAGGAACAGAACCACTGCAAAGCCATACCCACTCACTCTCAGCTCAGAGAGACACCCCAAAAGTACTCTTGGTTGATGATCTGTCTGATAGATTAGATGGCCATTCTCCTCTCTTGAATGGGGTCGCACTTCCCCTAAAGGACAGGATGTACAACTTGGGCGTGCTCCTGGACCCAAAACTATCATTGGAGTCCCAGGTGGGCTTAGTGGCCAGGAGTTCCTTTTCTCAGCTGTGGGAAATATAATAACTATGCCCTTATCTGACAGACAGAGCCTGAGCATGGTTGCTCATGTGCTGGTAACATTTCAACTAGATTATTGTAATCCCAACTAGATTACTACACTCTACATAGGGCTGCCTTTGAAGATGGTCGAGAGATTTCAGCTGGTCCAAAACAGAGCTGTACATCTGGTATCATGTATCAGTTCACATGTCCACATAACACCTATTTTGTATAAATTACACTGGTTGCCATTTGAAGTGCAAGCCCAATTTAAAGTGCTTGTTTGAATGTGCAAAGCCCTAAATGGCTTAGGACCTGGTTACATGAAAAAGGCCTTCTCCGATATACTCCTACCCACCCATTGATATGTGGGAATGAGGTCCTTCTGAAAGAGCCATCCCTAAAGGTAGTAAAAGGGATGGCAATTAGAAGTAGGGTCTTCTCTGTGGCTGCACCTCACCTTTAGAACAGGGTTCCTAAAGAGGTCTGCCTGGTGCTGTTACTATTTTCATTTTGGCACCAGGCAAAAACTGTCCGCTTTTGCAGATATTTCGAGACTTGATTTTTGACACTTGATTGCTCACTCTTCCCCAGCATGTTCCTACCTCCTCCTCCTGTACTTGTAAGGTTTAATTAATTAATTTTAATCAATGTTTTAGTATTGTGAGCTTCGTACAGAGCCCTCTTGGGCTAATCAGTGGCATATAAATTTGAAAGAAAGAAATAATGGATACCATGGTCAATGGTATCAGAAGCTGCTGAGAAGTTGAGGAGAACCAGCAGGGTCACACTTGCAGCATAGGTCATCATATAGGTGACCAAAGCTGCTTCTGCGCCAAAACCAGCCCTGAACCCTGACTGAAATAGATTCAAACAATCAGTCTTATCCAAGAGTGCCTTGAACTGCTTGGCCACCACCCGCTCAAGAACTTTGCCCAGGAAGGGGATATTTGTCACCAATTTAAAATTATTGAGACCTTCTGGTTTCAGGGAGAGTTTCTTTGGGAGTGGTCTCACCATCACCTGTTTCAAGTGGCAAGGGGCCACTCCTTCTCATAAATAGGCATTAATCACTCACCTGGCCCACTCAGCCATTCCTACCCTGCTAGCTTTTATTAGCCAAGAGGGGCAAGGATCCAGTACAGATGTCATTGCACAAACCTGTCCGACCACAAGGATTTTCCAACATCCTTGGGCTCTACATACTGTACTAACTCAAAAAAAACCTTGATCAGGTTGTACGTTTGATATCTCACCTGATTCCACTGCAATAACATTGGGTTCCAAATCCTGAAAGATTCAAGTGATTTTTTTTCCTGGAAGTGCCTAGGAAATATATTGCAGTGGGCTTCAGATGGTTCCAAGACGTTCTTGGGACCAGCATGTAGTAGGCCGCGGACAACGCTGGAGAGCTGTGCTGGGTGGCAAAGAAAAGACTGAACTGAGGCAGTCAGATATTGCTTCTTTGTTGCACTAACTGCTTCCACATATATTCAGCTATAGGCTCAAATGTATCCATTAGGAGTTTTCCTTTATCTGCAGTCAAGCTGTCTCCTCATTTCTTTTATCACTCTCAGCTCCAGTTTATACTGTAGAGCCTTGCAAACTGTGCTACAGAGAAGACCTTCAGGTCAATCGTGTCCACCACCCAGGTCTTCTCTGCATTGCAGAGATCAACCAGGGATTCAACAGAACCACTAGCTACATCAGCTGGAAAGTCCTTCACAGCCCTCTGAAAACCATCCATATTCATTAGTCTCTGGTTGTGGACCATCTTAATGGGTCTTTGTATTTAGATTTAAATACAAATTTTCAATTATGTGTAACACATGGATCCTAGTTGCAACTGAGCCATGAAGCTCACTGGACAACTTAGGGCCAGTCACTGAATCTCAGTTTAAGTTACCTCACAAGGTTGTTGTGAGAATAACATGGGGAGGAGGAAAAGGCTTGTGCATACCACCTTGGGTTCCTTAAAAGAAGAAGAAAAAAGCAGGATAGAAGTATAAAGATATCAGAAAAAGTTTCAAAAATTAGCAAATGTGTTTGTAGGTTGAGAATATCAACACTTTGATAATTTCCCCTTCTTTTTACATTCTGAGGAAGTTAGGTTTTGGAAGTACTCTTTAGAAGCAACCTGTGTCAGAAAATGTGGCTGTAGGCATGTACCTTTCTGGAAAATAAACACAGCCTGAACTTTATCTTGATACATACAGAAGGAATATTGTAGCCTCTTTACAATCTGAGCACATGCATATTTTACCTTTGAAGTAAGTCCTAGTAAATTCAGTGTGGCTTGCTCCCACCATAAAGCAACCAATTTACAATTCTTTTTTGCTTTCTCACTATTTAATCCGTTGGTGCCAGACAGCATTTAAACTGTAATGTGTCATTACTAATTAAGTGTGTGTACTTGCTTTGCAGTTGTCTATTCCTTTGAAAAGTCAGGATGACATTGATAAAGCTATAGATCTTTTGGACCGAAGCTCAAATGTGAAAAGCCTTAGAATATTACTGCTGTCTCAAGACAAAAACCAGGTGAGTATTTGTGGTCGTACTTGCTATAATCTCTTACTAGTCATTAAGCATTACAGTGATGCCCAGAGCAATGTAAGGTGAGTTTTTCCCCCATTCCATTTAAGCAGAAACATATGTTTTATCAAGCCTTTACTAAATGTTGCTGCTTCCCTTTTTCCACTACCTTGCAGCTGCTTTTCAAGCAATTCCTTGTTCTAATAAAGTGAAACTCAAGAACTTATGTAGGTTTCTATACATAGAATATCCCAGATGGAAAGTAAAGGAAACTTTTTTCTCCAAAAAATAAAGAATTGGTTTGATTGGGCTTCCTTCCTCTTCTTCCCCCACTCTTTTCCCCAACAACAATGTTGTCAGAGGGCATAGTAATTCTGTTTGGTATAAATATTTTTTTAAAACCTTGCCTAGTTTTGTGATATCCATATGATTTATATTATTAAATCTGTCTAATGCCTTATCTCCTTTTAGGTTGTACTTTGTATTACACCGCACTTAATTAAAATGTTTTATATAACTGTATTTATTGCTTTCAGTCAGAATTGCATGAGGATCTGATTGCTTTCACCAAATACCTTGGTGCAAATAACCCAGCGGTATAAATTCTAAAATATTTGAAAAAGGTAGCATTTGACACTAATTTCAATAATAAATCGACACAAGGAGCATAAATCTTACTTAGTAATGAACACCAGAAATGAAAACTTTTCTTTCCTATGATGAGGGCAGGAAATCAAGGCTCCATGAACTGGTAGTCTGCCAATATTTGGTCTTTAATACTCCTGAGCCTTGGATGAACCCTGGAACAATGAGGCATCACTGCTTCAAAGTGCCTCTTAGACCCAGCATATTGTTGTAGCCCAAGACTGGGAGCCTTACCAACTGACACCTCCAATGACAATGACTTGGGTTCACGCAACACAACCATCAACTATTGGCTATTGTCATTGGTTGGTTGTTGTGCTGTGCAAACACACTCATTATTACAGTGTGTCTTGGAGGTATCACTGTCTTCTCAATGACTGGTGGACTTCAGACTTCTTTAAATATCCTGAGGAGCACTCCCCAGCTGGCTCCCTACTCCTTCAACCTTCTCTCCCTAGGAGAAACCAACACCTTAAATGTCAAATGCAGCACTCAACAGCATAAGAGTTTCCAAGGAGTCTTTTCTGACCTGACAGTAAAAGCCTGCCAGTTGCTCCCATATCCTTTTGGCGTAACTTGTTAGTTCTCTAGCACCGAAATTTCTGACCAAGGTCTTGAAACTTCTCCTTAATTCCAGATTTAACCCAACCCTCTTGACTTCATCAGGCCCCCTTGCCTGAGACATTGCCCAAGGGGGATTTCCTGGTGAAGTGTGAAAGAGAGGGGCCTTTGCTTACCTTGCATTTTAGTTTGGAGTTAGTGTCACAAATCTAGTACCTTTATGGACCCTCTGCTAGAAACATGTAATTTCATTTCCTTTCATTTCACTTCATTTCATTTTTAAGCATCAAGATGTGATACAGGCCTCCACTCATGTGATGAAATTTACTTACGGGGAATGCACATTGCTGTTCATATAAACCTGCAGTTTACCTCTCATCTGATGCAGGCTCAAACCTTCACCTCAAGATCTTCACAGTTTTCCAGAGTATTTGTGCAGCTCATGACCAGCATTTTGCATATTGTATAATAACTTGAAGCACTGGAATAGGTGGAAATGATCCTTCAGACGTATTTTTAGTGCCAATACTACTAAACTGACCTGTCTGTCATTGTCCTTGCTATTAGAAGTAAAACACTAGGTCCCTTAAAAGCAAAGTTCCTTCATTCCTGTTGGTCTCTCTTCAACAGACTAATTCATCATCCCATTCTGGGATGCCAAAACAAGTCAGAATCAAAACTTCCCAGTCTGTTGGAGATGTGAACGTTGCCTATCCACCACCTGAAATCAGAAGCAGACACCTGTCTATCAGTAAGTATTGGCAGATAAATACTAGTTTGTAAGTAAAATCCAGTGCTAATAACAAGTAATTAATCCAGTACATACACCAGAGAAAATTGTGCCCTGCCTCGTGCTTTATTAGCTCTATAGTTCCCACTGGATCAGTTTTCATTAACATGGTTGTGTCTTGGAATATATGAAGAAAAGTGCATCTGGGAATGAGTAGAGGGCACTTGACCAAACAATTACAACTACCACATATATGTGTTCAAATCCAGCGCTACAGGACTTGTGGCCTGACAGTCACACTAACCTGAGTTCCAGGAGCTCTGTTGTTGTCATTGTTATTGCCATTGACATCTTTCTCACACATCGGCCAGAGTAAGCAAAGACTTGCAAGGTGCTTGGTCTTAAGCCTTTTCTCTAGACATCAGGTTCTTTCAAAAGATGTATCTGGAGGTATGACTATGGCAGAAAAGTCTAAATAGCCCAGTTTCCATAGACTTATTAATATTGTTTTGCCTTGAAAATCCTGTGATGAAGCAATCCACAATGAATCAGGAGATAGTGCTAGTGCTTACTGGGGAGGGGCAAAGAACAAGGACAAATGGCACTGTCACTAACGACACAACTAGATCAGCACTGAAAGGAAGTCTAAGGACTGACATGCACAAAGGCAAAACAGAAGTCCGATGCAGCACAACATACACAGTTGGAACATGCAAAGTACAAAGTATGAATCAAGGCAAATTGGAAATTGTAAAGCAAGAAATGGTATGGTTAAACATTACAGTATTTGGTTGGAATGAAGTGGACTGGAATGGGACATTTTCAAAACATTTTCAGTGTTTCACTCCAGAAATGACAAACTCAAAAGAAACAGAGTTGCTCTAATACTGAGGCAAGATGTATCATAGGCAGCAAGGGGCTATAATCAAAGTCTGACCAAATAATTTCAGTCAGAATTCTTGGAAAACTTAACAACATTCCCATCATTCAAGTCTATACTCCAACAACAGATACTGAAGAAGAAAGCATCCAAGACAAAGTTGATAACTCACAAAAACAAGATATGCTGATGATTGTAGGTGACTGGAGCGCAAAGGCAATGTACAAAGCAAGCACTCAGAGCTGCCACTCACCACAACCTCCAACATCATATCAGTGCTGATCGATACTGCTCTCAGAGCCATCAACTGCACCTACCAACATTGTGCCACTCACCAGCCACCCTGTGTGAGCTCCTGCCAGCTGGTCCCCCTCAACATCATCGGAGCTCAACTACACGTCAAACTTCATCTCCACCTTCTCCCTTACCCCCTTAGAACCCAACACCACAGTCTATGACCAGGAGCTGGTGTTGCTGTTGGGGGAGAGGGGAAGGTTCGTGGACATGGTGCTGCTGTTGTTGAGAGCTGAGTTCTCCCCTCCCACAGTAATAGTCTCACCAGTGCTTCTTGCCAAACATCTTTATTTTGCATGCAAGTCTCTGAGCATATACAAAGCAAATGTTGAAACCCCTCTGGCCTTCACCCAGAGCTTTGCTTATGAATCCTTTTGCACCTGGTGGGAGGAGTGCTATGGAATCTGGCACACTATTGCTGCTCGCTCTGAGATCCCAGTTGTGACTGTGATGGTGGTCCGCCTCCTCAGGAGGCTGGAGTTCCCCATCTGATAGACTCCCTATCTCTAAATCTCTCCCCTCAAAATCTCGTTGCTCTTCTGTGTTCACATAGGCAGGCTGATTCAGCCACACGGCTGCCCTTGAACTAATCTCTCCCATAGCAGGCGCAGGCATATACCCAGGGCTTTGGACTCCCTCTGAAGCTGTTTGAACAATCAGCTTGTTATCAGAGTCTGAGCTTTCAGCCCTGCTGGGATAAGCCAGCTCCCCTGCACACATCTCATTCACAGAATTTGAGCTTTCAGTCCAGCCAAAATGGTCAGCCTCTCATACATGCCCCTTAAGTTTGCCAGAATGTGCTTGCACAACAGCTATGCATGACAGGGGAACTGGGGTGTGGCTGACCCCATTTTCGGTGCCCCAGGATCTGAGACATCAACCCCAATAGCCATTCCATTCCTACCTGCCCTACTGAGGACAGCACAGCAGTCATGAAAGTTCCCTGCTTCCACCCTGACCACATCCTGGTCACATCATGAAAAACTGAAACCACCTAGAGGATGATGAACAAAGACTTGCTGTTCCTTCACCAACATTAAAACCCAACTCCATCATAGTGGAGTTTATTCAAGGGACCCCTGCAGGGAAAGGCAATGCTGCAATGGCCTTGCCAGGCAAGTATGCACTGCTGCCTTGCTGGACCTCAGGATCTCCAGCTATGAGGCAACCATGGCCCACTGCTAGCTCTTCCTCTGGGCGAAGATGGCAGTCATGGCCAGGTACTTCCCAAACAACTTCTGAAAGTTGGCACATCTCGTCTACTCCAAGGCAGCAAAGCTGGCTAGACACCAGACAGAGGCAGCCAGGCACATGTGGACTGTGATGGGAAGGCCCTGATGGGCCAGTCTGTGTATGCTTCTTAGACAGTGATACACTCACATTTCATTTGCACAAATTGAAATCAATATGTATAAACTAATGTAAAATAAATTGTTTTCACCTTCATGGTCTGGTTCAGTAGAAATTTTATAATAAAAAGTAAATCTTTGAAAAGCAAGTCCACAAGAGTTGCATCCACACTTTTAAAATGTTTATATTGGAGGTGCAAACATCCAGGTTCTTAGTATCTGATGGTAAACAACAAGCAAGTGGTATCTAGGTTGCTAAAGAAGGTAGATTTGTTGTCTTAACTGTCCATACAAAGTCTATGTTTTCTGTCACAGGATTAACCAAAGCCCTCAGGGCAGTTCACAATACCAAGACCTGAAACTATAAATACAATGTTTATATCTATACCAGCTAATAACCAAAGCTGTCTTTTTTGTAACAATAGTATCATAAACAGAATAAAAATAGAATAATAAAAGCCAGTAGGTATAGAAATATCTTAAAGCATACAAACATATTTTTAACAACTGAATGTGTCAATGGTGGGTGGGGGAGACAGATTTTGGAAGGAATTTTGAATATCCCTCCGTCTCAAATATATTTCTCTCTCTCATGCATGCAGAAAGACAGCAAGTCTGTTTCAGATCACATAATGTATATAAAGGGGGAATTTTCACATACATTTAATTCCCTGGAGAAAATGAGAGATTAAAGGCCATCTTGGTCTTCCTGATGAAAGTGCTCCATCATAAAAGTGATGCAGCTCTCCATCTGAAAGATGACTTTTTGTTCTTTTAAAAAATCTTCAGAGCTTTCAGAACTTCTGCCCTTGGTTACTTACTGACACATGATAAAATCAGATTTCCTAGCCTCCTGTTTCCTCCGGTTAACCAGTAGGTGGTGCTAGTGTATTGTAAGCACTGATTATATGTAAAGAGAAGAATTGCCTTAGCATCTATATACTACTGTCTTTTAATATGGTATCCTACTGTTTTAAGTAAATACACACAGAATTCTGTGTTCATTTGAAATAAGCAGCCATATATATAATTATTGCATTTCTCTTACAAGCAGTATGAAGCTCAGTTAAATAGCAGAGTTGCTTTCAGTGACTCTGAAAATGTGGATATGATGAAGTAGTTTTGTTTTGCTTTTTTAAATTCAGCACCTATATGACACTTGTTCAAATATTGCAAGCATTGTAGTGCTTTATCCATTGCCTTAAAGGAGATGAGCATTTATGATTCCAATCCTTGTAATATCAGCATTTAAGCTGCCACAAGAGTGTGAAAAACCAATTTATTTGTTAATTCCAAAGGCAGGTTTGTAATTTAAAGCAGCATGTACATCATGATTGAGATAGCTCATACTCTGGAAGACAGAACGAAGATTCAAGGTGATCCTTGAAGGCTGGAGCACTGGGCTAAAAACAACAGAATGAAATTCAGTAGGGACAAATGCCAAGTTCTACACCTAGGAAAAAGAAACAAAATGCATAGCAACAAGGTGGGGCATAGTTGACTCAACAATATTACAAAGAAGGATCTTGAAATTATTGTAGATCGCAAGCTGAAAAGGAGTCAGCAATGTGATGCAACTACAAAAAGGACAAATGCTCTTTTGGGCTGCATTAACAGAAGGATCACTTCCAAATCACATGAAGTACTAGTTACCCTCTGCTCGGCACTTTCTAGGTCTCATCTGGAGTCCTACATTCAGTTCTGGGTACCACATTTTAAGAAAGATGCAGACAAGTTGGAAAGTTTTCAGAGAAGGGCAACTAGGATGATCTCGGGACTGGAAACAAAGCCCTCTGAGGAGAGATTGATGGAACTGGAACCATTTACCCAGATGAAAACTGAGGAATATATGACAGCATTCTTCAAGTTCTTGAAAGTTTGTCATGCAAAGGACGGCTAGAATCTCTTCACAATCATCCTAGAGTACAGGATGTAGAATAATGGGCTCAAGTTACAGGAAGCCAGATTTCAGCATAACATCGAGAGAGAAAAAACTTCTTGATTGTTAGAGCAATGTAACAGTGGAACCAATTACTTAAGGAGGTTTTGGGCTCTCCCACACTAGAGGCTTTCAAGATGCAGCTAGAAAGCCATCTGAGAGGGATGGTTTCACTTGGAGTCCTGCACTGGGCAGGGGGTTGGACCCAATGGTCTTGGCTTCTGAAACTCTACTATTCTATGATTCTATCAGCAAATAGTAAATTCTTTTTCAGTACAAAATATATCCTCCTACTAACTTCCAGAAAGAAGCAACGACTGGATGTTGCCACTGGTGGTATGTTGGAAAAGATCAAATGCAATGCTTTTCTGGTCTCACAATCTATTCACATATGTGCTGATCCTGATGATCTTACTGCGGTGCTTATGAACCCTGCTGACCTTTCTAGAAGCAGTTTTTCACATGTCGGTCATTTTCTTGAGCATTTCTCACAGAAGCTATCCATTGTACATGAGAGTTTTTTAAATCTTTTAGATCACAGCAACCCTCAGAAGGATTGCCCCTCTTTCCCCTGCCCTGGGTGGGAATACATAGGGTTCCCTTAGCTAAAGCTCTGTACCACTTTTCTGGAACTAGGGCAGTAGATCTATGATCATGAAATGGGGTATTTGTCATTGTACCATCTGTAAGTGGTTCAGGGAGGTGGAGCAAAGGAAGGTCAGGTGGCATGTAAGGGGACAGACAAGGCTTGTTTGCTGTTCAAGGAAAGAAAGGTAGCTGAACATATCCGAGTCTATCTCCAGGCATCAGAAGCAAGAACAGTGATAGCAGGTATAGGCATGTGAGTGTTGTGCTTGACTTAGGTTCATGCCAAGAGATCCTGAGGCTGAAAGCCATACGAACCACTCCAACCACAGCATTTCCCTTAAGCACCCCTCGCTTCCTTAGGGAAGTTGCGCCATGTCCTTTGGCAGCAGCAGACCCAGAATATGAGGGGTCTCTAAATTTACAGGGATTCTTAGGGGATTAGGGGATTCAATATTAGGGGATTCTTCCTCAGCAGGAATCCTTGAGGACTGGACTAATTGTTTACTGCTCCTGTGTGGTCTGTAGAAGCACAGGCTACCTTAAGTCCCCAGTTCTGCCCACCTGTGATTGGAAAAACACTGTCTGTGTAACTACACAGTCTGGTGGATCTCTCATGTCTCTGATCCCTTACTGCCAGCATTAGCATCTTCATGAGATCGCACCTGCCTCTTTGCTTTTTGCACTGTGTTCAGCCTCGGCTCCACACAGCAACCCTGTTATTTGGATCATGCTGTCTTTCAGACTGCTTCTCTGTGTTGATCTCGGACTCTGTTTGGGAATCTGCACTTTGAGCTGGCCTTTTTAGCCAAGTCAGTTTGTGACATCCATGGCTTTACCTCTCCAGTGTTGTACTCTGACTTTTTTCTTCACTACATGCAAGTTAGAGGCAAGACCTGGACCAAGTTGAGTCAAGATGGAGGGCTGGTCACTGGCAGCTGCCTCCAGGCTTAGCCTCTCTGCCTTTCAAAATTTTATATTTTACCTATTGGCTACAAAATACTAGATTATTTCCTGTTTTATCCTAAAAGCTCAGGATGCAAAACATTTTAACAGTAACCCTCCTAATCTAAGCTGAGGGCTTGTGAGTTCAAACCTGCCAAATTAGACTTTTGGTTAAATTAGAAATTCATCCTGAGTTTTTGCACATCTAAGCCCATCACTTGGTCTCTTCTCCTGTACCAGGTTTAATCTAAGTGAAAGCTAAGACTATGTGCCTTGGTTCCTCAGTCCCATGGTGGAAGGATGGGGGTGTTTCAGGAGCACAGAAAAGAACACACCAGTTTTCCTTTTAGATGTCCTTTCCCTGTGTTTTTTAATAAATATTTTTAAATCCTCAGCTTCTCAGAATACAGGTCGAAGTTCACCCCCTCCAGGGTATGTTCCAGAGAGACAGCAGCGAATTGCTCGTCAAGGATCCTACACCAGCATCCATAGTGAAGGAGAATTCATCCCAGAATCCAGTGAACAGTGTGTAAGTGTGAAGTAAATGGAACATGTCAGAGTAAAACTATCAGTACCATCTGTTCTCCTGGTCTGTGTTCTCTTTTAGAGTGTTACACAGGAAACTGTCTTATACAATGCAAGACTATTAATTCAGCTACCTTGCATTGTCTGCAATAACTGCAGAATTGCAAAGTTTCAAATGGGACTTTTTTCCAGCCGTACTATGAAATGCTGGACATTGACGCTACAGCCTTATGCATGTGCTGTATCACTGAGTTGCAAACCTTGTCCAGCCTTCTCATGTTCTTATGTGTAGCTGCTTATCTGCAGGTGCTGATCTGTATATGTACACAGAGAGAGCTATTTTACTGTGCTTTACTATCATCAACTTTTACAGTTTGGTTCCAGGAGACAGCTTCTTCTCTTAGATGCTGAAATGCATAGTTGGTCCACGGGGATTGCTTTTTCCAGTGAGATTGTTTCTGCTGAGCTCATCTCTTTTTCTTACCTGTTCACTCCAGTAAGACAGCATGTCCACTTGCTGAAGTATGATAATTTGCATATGGTGTTTATGAAATACTGAAGTATTCCCCCCATGCATAGACTATGGCATCCTAATCTTAGAGTGAATGTTATCACTCAGACATAACATGCATGGACAAATAAATCAATTTATATTGGTCAATTCTAGCTAAATTCTCTACAGTGCCTTTTTGGTTAGATTTTCAAGACCAGACCAGACCAGAGCTAATTCAACTTGAATTTCTGTGACCTTCTCTTATAGTTGTTGGATCCTTTAAGCAGTGCTGAAAGCTCTATATCTGGCAGTTGTCAGTCCTTGAGCCAGTCAGGAGACAGGTATGGGCCTTAATGGTTTTGAAATGCTTTTTGTGCCTTTTCTCTATCTGATCTGCGTTTTATTTATTTATTTATTTATTTAGAACTTTTATATACCGTCCTTTATGTATGACATCTCAGGACAGCTTACAATATTAAAATCAGAATACAATAAAACAATACAATATGATAAAACAATATATACCCAATAAAAATAAATTGTATCAAAAGCGACTGTTAAAGCCATTAAAATACTAATTTTTTGAAATAATGATTGAATAAAAGGGTTTTGACCTGGCACTGAAAAGAATATAGGCTCGGCGCCAGACGAACCTCTCTGGGAAGCACATTCCACAATATTACTGTTGCTTAGTTTATCTTCTAGTGAAATTGACAATGACTCTGGGTATGAGTTTCATTCTTTTCTGCACAATTTGGCTTTTTTTAGTTGTTTAGCTCTTTTCTTTAGTACTTCTGTTATCTGCTTCTCATACTTGTGTTACTTGATTTCTAGTAGTTGATTAATGCAGTTTGATGCATTTCCAATAATGACTGAATAGTGTGACAGTGGTGTTTTATAATCCTGCAGTAACTATTACCCAAAGTGCTACTGAGAAGTAATTTGTTAGTGCAGCCAAAAGCCAAGAAACTAGATCTCAATTAGCTTCAGTTTTTAGGATGAATATTTTCCATGTGTAGCTAGGCCAGAAATAAAAGGGAGAAAGTAAGATTACCTATGGCAAGACTTTTTCTCATGTAAATTTCTTATGGCTTACTGTAGTGAGAAGTAAAAATGTTCCATTGTGATGAAAACTCAAGGTGGTTTAGAATGAAAATCACTCTGCACAATATATAATAATATGTATTATAATAATATATACATTATATGCTCTGTATTGTCTCAAGCAAGACTAATTGCTAAAAAAAGTAGAGTTGGATAAAGAATTCTGTGACTCTTAAGAAATTTATTTTCTCTGTGTCCTCTTTTGCCTGTTAGAGGACTTTCCTTTTCCAATCGGTGCATCTTTGACCTTGAATCAGAAAACCCAAACATATGATTTCTGCTGGATCAAATCAAAGGCCCGTCTAGTTCAGTATTCTGTTCCCACAGTGGCCAACCAGGTGGCTATGGGAAGCCCACAAGAAGATCATGTGTGCAATAGCAACTCTATCACATGCTGCTGTACTCTAAATGAAACAGATAATCTTGTAGTAATTAATTATCTCATTAGAGTATGGGCAGACTGCTACATTTTTGCCATCGTTAATAAATTCCCAATAAACTCTCATTGAACAGAAGCAAACAGCTCTAAGTAGTCTAATATAATTATCAGAGGATCTTAAGGTACCATCAGCAAAATTATATTACACGCATCTCTCTTTAAAAATGCAGTTTCAGAGCAACTCCACAAAATATTCCGAAAGTCAGCTTTTTAAGTTTTATACCTCTAGCACACATCACTGGTATTGCATGAAATTTATCATGTAGGGTAAGGTTGGCAATGTGTGGTCCTTAAGATGTTGTTAGACTGCAACTTCCATCATTCCTCACCATTGGCTCTGTTAGGACTAATAGGAGATGGCAGCCAGCCAACATCTGGAAGGGGAAAGTTACTCAGCTCTACATAGGAACTCAAGTACAACTTGTACATGATTTGAAATAATTCTCTCTTATCCTGATGCAAGATAAGTAGGACCTTGGGTACCATTTTTCAAACCCAGACATCTTTGTGATAAGAGGTTTCCTCTGACTGAAACTGTAAATGCAGCCTCTGATAGAATTCAGAAGCCCTAGGCAGATCAGCTATAGAGGCTACCTGTTGGAGTCCAGGATATGGGTGGCAGAACAACAGACTGGGCATCAGGACCCAGGCAACTAAGCCAATGTCCAAATAACAATCTTTAAGCAAGTTAAGTAGTCTGAGTTGAGAGCCAAGAGTAACAGAAGCACAAGGCAAGGTACAGTCTACTTAGACAATAACATAGTCAGGGTAGGTCCCATATAACCAGCAAGGCAGTCAGTAACCCATGAAGCGATACAAACAGGAGAAGATACCTTGGGATCAGGGCAGAAGCCAGGAACAGGATCAAAGACCAGACACAGGAACTTGGTCAGTGATGACCAGGCAGTAAGCGGGACTACAGCAAGTCAGGAGACCTTCATTGCTGAGTCAGCTTCTAGAGGGAAGAGCCACTTATATAGCTTTTCCTTCAGGGCTTCCAGGTAGTGCTGCATTGTTTTCAAGATGTTTGCAGACTGACAGTTTTATAATCTGCTCCAGAACTTTCCCAGGGATTTACATTAGACTGAGTAGTTCCCAGGTTCTTCTTTTCCTTTCTTGAAGATACAATAGGGACATTAGCCCTTCTCTAGTCATCTGACACTTCCCCTGTTCTCCATGATTTCTCAAAGATAATAGAGATTTCTTCCACCAGTTCCTTTTTTACTCTAGGATGGAGTTCATTGGGGCCTGGAGATTAGGACTCCTTCAGCCCAATTAGATGTTCCTTGACCTGTCAATCATGAACTGCTATCCTGCTCCTTCAGCTTGTACTTCCTTTTCATCATGGAGGTTATAGATCTTCATTTTGCAGAAGACAGAGCCAAAATAGGAATTGAGCACTTTTGCCTTTTCTTTGTCATCTGTTATTTTGCCATCCACAATGAGAAGTTGAACCCCCATTTCTTTCCCCTGTCTTTTACTATGCACATACTCCTAAGCAGACTTTGTAGTAGTATTTGTTGTTGTTCTCAGATGCTCTCAATAGGGCTACTAAACTCATCTCCCAGTATTTCTATGCAGAAATATGTATCTTTAACATATAGTGGAACTCTGCTCCCTCTCTGTTACTTTTGTTTTTCTTGAGGAGCTTATACACTTCAGTTACTGAATTCCAATCATGTGAGTCATCCCACCACATTTCAGTTATACCTATCAGGTTGTATTCACTCTTCTGTGTTAGGAGTTCAAGTTCATGCTGTTTATTTCCCATACTCCAAACATTAGTATATATACATGGAAGACCATGTACTTTATACTCTAGCTTTCTTCCTGCATTTTTTGTAAGACTATGATCGGGCACTGTTAGAGCTGCTCTCTCTGTTGTTGTGCATGAGTCTTTTTCTGTTGCCACGTCTAGGTGTACTTCTTCCTACCCTGTAGGATTCATTTTAAAGCCCTCCTGATAAACCTTTTCATCCTGTGGCCAAATGCCCTCTTTCCAGTCCTTGTAAGATGCAACCTAGCCCTTGCAAGCTGTTAATCTTCATGGTCCCAGGAAATGTCAGATCTCCAAAAAGTTTGCATAAAAACACATGCAATACAATACAAAAGGAAAAGTAAAATACCACAAAATAATAAATGCATTAAAATGTTTACAAGAGGGGCAGTAAAAGAAAACTGTGTCATGTTTGGTTACAAGTCAAGGAAAAAGTTGAATGAATAAATGCATCTTCTTGAGAGATCAAGAAGAAATAATAGGATTGTACTTCACCATCTTCCTCCTGAAGAAGGTAACCAAGGATGATTTCTTCTCTCAACTGAGCCTAGACTGAAACAGATCCAGATAATCCCTTTTGTTCAAGAGTGCCTTCAGCTTGGATGCCCCTACCCACCCTTTTTGGGGCATATTACTCTAAAAGGGAGCACTTGTGGCCAGATGATTATTAGCATGGGACCCCATTATTCCAGGGAGGATTTTTCTCAGGAGAGGTTGTAGTACTACGTCTTTCAACTGAAATATTTAGAGAGCCATATGTAACTCAAATAAGGCTACTGGGAAATCTTGCTTCTTTTCAAGAATACTAACATTTACAATAGCAAAATACAAAATCAGTATAAATGGAATACGATGCTCATAGCAAATACAAATTCAAATACAATATTAACAGCAGAGCAATACAAAATCAAACGAAGTTACTTAATACAATAATATTCATAATATTAAATACTGAAATACAGCAAACACTCTCCTCAGGCCCCAATACACACCTGCACAGATTGGCTGAGAAAACACACCCAACACAATCCCCCTCAGCATTTCCCTTCCCAGCAGGAAAAGGAAAAGATTCCATCTTCACAGGCCCACTGAGCTGCCCCTTCCCTTCCCAGCCTCCTCCAGTGAAGAAATGGTGGGGAATTGGCAGTGTGAGCACAGCTAACCCCATGCTGGTCGGGGTGAGTGAGATGCCGCTGTCATGCGCACTGTCAGTATTTGGGACAAGGGCAGCTGGGTATCAGGTCAGGGCACCAGGACCCAGACAACCAGTACAATATACAGGCCCATTCCAAATCATAGGCAGTCCTGATATCAAGGCAGTTAATAGAAGTGCAAGGTAGGTCAATCCAGATAGAGCAGAGCAGTCAATACTAGTCAGGAGTTGAAAGCCAGAGAGACAAGCCAAGGAGAAGCTGGAGCAGGTAAAGACAGGCAAGGTCCAGAAGCAGAGGCAAGAGCAAGGTGACTGACAGTTTCCAGAGCAGGTTCCAGACAGCACAGGGAGTTCCAACAACATCAAAACACTTTGTTGCTGAGGTAGCATCTGAAGGGGAGAGCCGGTTCTTATATAACTCTTTCCTCAGGGCTCCCAGGTGGTGCTCGTAATATTTCAGGGGACTGCAATTGACTGTGGGCCCAGACCTGCAACGACCAGGGCTGCTATCCTGCTCTCTGTCCAGAAGAAACACGACGACTCAGAAGCGGTCTCCTGGACCATCTAGTCTGACCCCCGGCTCTAGCCGGCTCCACTCATGACATGCCTCTGCTCATGACATGCCAGAAGAGGGAGCCCTGGTGCTGCCTCAGAGCCTCACATGTGCACATGACAGCAGCTCTTCATGGACTGGCAGGAAATGCTGGTGGACCAGTGGTTGAAAACCACTGTTCTAGTGTGTTTCTCCATACAAAGTCAGTAAACAGGGAGTCTTCCACATAAAGACACTTAGAAGCAACTGCATCAGTGGCACTTTGGCATTTCACCATGCAACAGGGGCCTTAGACATACTCTCATAATTGGATACCCCACCTCTACAGGGAAGGACTAATTTAAATTACCATGACAATATAGAGGTTTATTATCTCATTATCCCCCTCCCTTTACTACAGATTCTAAACAATTTAATCTATGCTATGTTTAGTACTAATTAAATATACTGTGTACTATTTTTATAGAAATGACACTTTTTAAAAAGTTGAAATACAACACATTTTCACTGTATAATCTTTGAGACTGCAGAAATTCCACAATGCAGACACACACTATTGGATTCAGACACACTATTGTCATTTATTTGGGTTTTAGTTGCCCACCTATTTGCAGGGTAGGTGCCTCTTTTTATCACATGATTATGAAATTTAGGCAATTTCCATTCTCAGTTCTTAAAAGCAAAACTGAATTATTCCATAATCCTTTACTTCCAAACAGCCTTTCCTTCCGAAAATCCTGCATGTCCCGGACTCAGAGTTTCCCAGACCACAGGCAAGATTTTTCAGGTAAGTTAGTTGATTGTTCTGATGGTAACTGAAAGGTGTGAGGAACCTATTTCATAGGTTTTTTTCCTCTGCTCTATAGTCACTGTATATTTCATGTATGTGTTCAAAGTAAAGAATGTGTTTTGAAATGTGCAGGCAATGTGTCTGTAAACTGCCTGGAATTACCTGGCTTACAGACTGTTACAGGGTGGATATCAGTAGTAAGGGACCAGGTCAGTTCCACTTCTCAGATTCTCTTGCCACTGCCAGGTTAAATGTTTCCTGATCTAGGAGGGAGACACATATTAATGTGCTGCTTTCTCTTTCAAGAAGGTCTGGTGAAATGAAAACTATTCCTTTAATTATTAGAAGAGCAGATATTTGGATAAAGTAATAGTCATATGTCAGCTGCCCTAATATCTCAGTAGGATCAGGGCTGGATTCTGTGCTCTGAACAATTCAGTGAGCTGTTGTTATTACTCTTTAATCGTTCTGTGCTTTTTATGCAATATACATCTTTCCTCCAACATTTCAGTCCAAAATATTAAAAAAAATTCATAACCTTTAGAGATACAAAAATTGCAGTTTGGCTAGATCACATGTGGGCAATTTGCATTTAATAATAATATGCATTTGCTGCATATTATTTCCCCCATGTACATTATCCTCTCTCCAGCTTGCCCAAGAGCTGTGTCCTAGGTTGTAGGGAGTGTGATTGTGCAGGGGAGGACAATAGATGAGAAAGGTCATCCCTTTGTGCCATTCACCTGGTTAAAAGTATGGTCCTTGTGTTCAGCTGATTAACCCTCCTCTCCTTGCATGTCAGTCATCTCCAGTCTTCCACATCACCAGCCTAGGCCCTTACACTGCTGACTTCCTCCCCTGCCCACCCAACAGACCTGCAGACCTCCAGCTCTCCACCCAGCATCACACCAGGCCCTTGGGGTAAAATGGGTGCCTGCACCTGCATTATTTGGGTCCATATTTTAGCTATCAAATAGATTGTGTAAGGTTTGTGCATCTCCTGTTAAGGTTTGTACTCCTCTAGTAAAAGTGTTCCTGCAGTGATGAGATTCACTGATTTTTTTCACCCCTTAGGACCTCTACTAGCGTTATCTTTTATGCAAAGGCTTCATGTTTACTAAGGTAATGTGTTCTGCTGCTTTGTCTCCATCCTAGACCATGAGAATCCAATCTGTGACAAAGTAGAGAAAGGTGGAACATACCCTCGGCGTTACCATGTCTCCATGCAGCACAAAGATTATAGCGATGGTGGGTATTCCTGTGCTGCAGGAAGGAACCTTGCTTTTAATGATAAGGTAGCCACTTTATATCCTAGTAGAGATGTCTGCTTCTCCAGCTGCTAGCACCTTTCCTTATTTTGAAACTGGTTGGCAGCGCTAGAAGGATGAATGAGAGAAATTACCTTTTCTGAACTGCAATGGCTTTAAAAGTAAAGGGGGAAAAGATCAGAAATCAGTAGGATGATGCTAATTCCTGTATTCTTGAGGGTTATACAAAGATGAAAATAAAGTATACCCTGACATACCTCATATATTGCTGTCTCTTAAAAAGAGCATATGTTCAAAATACATGAGTAATTTGAATTAATTTATTGGATAATTCTGTAAATAAACTAATTTTCCAACACCAGGGGGTTTCATCTTTTCCTTACAGGTCGGAAGACATTTCCTCGCATTCGGCGCCACCAGGGCAACCTCTTTACACTGGTGCCATCAAGCCGCTCCTTGAGCACCAACGGAGAGCACCTAGGCCTGACAGTACAGTATTTTGACCCCCGTGGGCACCTGCGGTGTGCTGACAGTGAGAATACTCTCATCATGCAGGAGAGGAACATCCCGACAAAGTGTAAGCAAATGTGTAGTAGAGGGAATACCAGAGGTGACAGCGACTTTCCTGTACATTCAAAATGGACAAATGGAAACCATTCTTTACTGAGCCAGCAGCCATCATAGGCTCTAGGGAGAGCTGCTAGCATTTAGGGCTTTCTAACAGATATGATAAAATTTATAAAAGAGATGAGAAGACATTGAGGGGAAAAAATACCAACATTCAGGGCAGTTTTCTGAGGATTTGATTTTCACTTTTTCTGCCAGTAAAATTATTTATTTACTTATGTATTTGTTTATTTTAGAATAGTGGTAAAATTGATGAACTGTCTTTTGGAATCTTTTTATGGTAATCTTTATGGTGTCTTTTTTCACTCAAATGTGTAGTATACAGATTTTAATATAAGACAACAGTATTAGAGAATTCTAACTGCTTTGTATGTGTATATCAGTGTTTGGTAGTATAGTACCCATGAGCACCAATTCACCCCTCCCACTTAAAAAAAAACCAAAAACATTTTCTTAGCAGCAGCTGGGGTGGGCTATGAAATAGGCTTCTGTTTCTGCTGAAAATTGTGGGTTCTAGTTGTTTAGTGTGTTGGGGTTCAGGTTCCATCTCTGCCTTGTACTCAGTATTTTCAGCAGTTAATTGTTCTTTGCCAAATGCATCCACACCTCTAAATGTTTGCTTAGTCCTCTGGTACATGTGGACAGCAGATTCAAGATCTTTATGTACCTTAAGTGTGCTGCCATTTTCATGAAAAGCACACATCCTTTTCTTGTGAATGATTACTTGCTCTCTTGCAGCAATCTTTAATCTAGTTTGCAGATGCTAGACTCAAGTATCCTGTCCTTTTGCTTGTATAAGCTAAGGCTATGCACTTAACCTGGGAATAAGGTATATCTAACCCTATATGCACTTACCTGGGAATAAGTCTCCTGTACAAAAAGGAGATTGTTTCTGTGGACGTTCTGGTGCTTTGTATGCTTATCTAGAAGTAAACTGCACTAAAGAGCTTAGGGCAATAGGATAATTGTATTATTATGCTACATTTTATAAATGATACTTTTTAGTATGTACATGTGATAAAATAAGATAAATTTTGATAAGAAAGTATTGCACTTTTTTTTCATTTTGACCAAAATTTTGATTTTTTTTCCCCTGAGGGCACAGGGAAAGGAAAATCCTAGGGGTTTTTTTTTCCTGTATGACTCCAACATCCTCAGAAGTTTTTAATCTCTAAATCATTCTGTCTGTGGCTCTTAGTTATAAGATACATAAGGACAGTACTGTTCTATTTAGCAGTACTGGGGATGAATGATAGGAGAAACCATTTTGCCATGCTTAGAGGCTCCCCTGAGGCTTTTGAGTCATCATTGATGAGAGATGGCCTTTGGTGTGCATAGCAGTTCTTGTGAACTTAAGACTGACAACTGTATTTTAAAACATCATTTATATGCCACAACTTGCTGTCTTAACTTGGAGTTTGGAAGCATATCTCTGTCTCTCTCATGTGTTGCTTTTAACCCTTCAGAAATTTTATATAATTCCTGTTGATGTGGATAGAGAAATATTTGAGGGTGGCATTAAAATTGAAGTAACTGTTGTATTGAACAGCTCCAAGTGCTCCAGTCAACTGGCGACGAGGAAAACTCCTTGGACAGGGTGCCTTTGGTCATGTGTACTTGTGCTATGATGTGGATACAGGTAGAGAACTTGCAGCTAAGCAGGTCCGGTTTGACCCAGAGAGTCCTGAAACAAGCAAGGTACTTGCATGTCTAGCATTCAGTAAATGTTCTCCAACAGTCTAATGCCTGTTCTAGCAATTTCTTCAACTAGATCTTTACTGAATAGGCTTTCCACCTGTTGCACAATTCAGCTATCCATATGCAGTTTAGGGGATGTTCCTCATCTACTGATCTTGTTGAAATTGTTGGTGGAGCTTCTCCCTGCTCTTCTTGCACCAACTGCGACCACATCTGGGAATGCTTCTCCTCCTCGTACCACTTGAATGGGTGTCAGAATAGGTATGTGCTCTTGTGTACAATTCACACCTAAAAGTTGGGGTGGGTCTTGAAAAGATGAAAAGATAGAATGGAGGAATATTCTGGCTACTTTGAGATTGCGCTCTTGGATCAAGTTTTGGTCAACAGTGTATGATAAGTGCAGCATTCATGGGTGTATCTCCGATGGTGAGAAGCAAAAGAGATCAATGATAGGAAAACATTTGGGATTTGAGTGGGAGGGAGAGAGGTTTACAGTGCAAGGTCTCCAAAGGAAGCTGCAAAACTGTGATTATAAGGTACAAGTGGATAAACAAGCTAGTTATCAATACTATAATATGATGCTCAGTCCTGAGATTATGGTTTGTTATGCCCAAACAAGCCTGGGTTGTAAGCCAGCTTTAAACAAGGATTTGTGGTTGATTTACTAATACTGGCTTTCTTGAACTCAGTAAAGCACAATCCCAAATTAATATCAACTATATGGTGTAACTTTTCCAAATGAGTTGCAACCTGCATCAAGATGGAATTCTTAAATGAATAACATTATACTGTATACTGGTTGGAGCAGGAGAAATAACTTCTTAGCAAAATCCTGCTGAGAGCTTTTCAGTTGTATCACTTACAATTATAACATGTCACCTCGCTGCATATACTCATTAAGGATCACCGTAAACAGTGCTATAATCATGGTTTCCAGTACTGTGAGAAACTATAGTTTAATGAAACCCAATACTCAACTTCTTTGAAGACAAATGCACAAGATGAAATGAGAAAGATGAGGAGGGAGCATACAAATACAAGGCTAATTCTTAGTTCAATAAACCAAGATTTATCATACCAAGGTCATTATGTCTCTTGTAATTCCTCTACAGAGGAACATTTGTGGAAAAGGCCAACATCCTGTTTCTTTACCAACATATAATAACTGCTCTCTTTATGCTTTCAGGAAGTGAGTGCCTTGGAGTGTGAGATTCAGCTGCTGAAGAACCTTCAGCATGAGCGTATTGTCCAGTATTATGGATGTTTGAGGGACCGAGGAGAGAAGACCCTGAGCATTTTCATGGAGTACATGCCAGGGGTAAGAGTTGACTTTGTCCTCTAGGAAACAGTTGTCGTATTTTTCTTACTGCAGTGGGCTGCAATATTGTTTGCTTTTTTAAAGTACTGTTCAATACTTTTCCTGTAAAGGGATCTGTCAAAGACCAGCTGAAGGCTTATGGTGCACTGACGGAAAATGTGACTCGCAAGTACACAAGGCAGATTTTGGAAGGGGTCTGTTACCTTCACAGCAACATGATTGTACACAGAGATATAAAGGGTAAGAGACAAAGTGGGGCAGGTGATCAGTTAATGCATATGTACTTATATTCCTTACTGTGATGCCTGTGCATGGTTGGTTAGCATGGCTGGATTCAAACAGCAGAAGAACATGTGGTTCAATGACAACCTCCACTCAAACTTGAATGTGATTTATTGTGTTCTGAGAACCCAATGACTAGCCCAAAGTCATTCAGTGAGTTTTTTGACTCAAGGATCTCCTGAGTCCCAATCCAGTGTTGTAACAACTAAACCACACTGGCTTTCTGGTTTGAACTTCCATGTGAGAAGGAAATTTTTGCAGAAAACCAACTTATAAAGGGATGCACTTAAAAGCACATGCTGACAATTGTCTGCTCTTTTATAATAAGCTTCTATAGAAATGTCAGACCAAAATCATGGCATGGGGAGGGGACTCTAATCCTGCCACTGTGTTACTGTCCAAAATCTCTGCCCATCCACCCTCAGAGACTGCCATCTGCACCAAAATAGTCATTTGCAGCCAGTAGTCTCTCCAGGGCAAATAGGAGTATTTGGTTGATCTGCATGTGCAAAAGGACATGGTGTAAACCCTCTCTCCCTCTCTGATGCAACAATCCCAAGGTGGATTGAAGCCCACAACAAGGGTGTTTTTGAAAGACAGACAGACAGTTATAAGCATGCACATTAATGTGGTGTGGATTTTGCTACATCATGATGATCCATACAGGAAAAAACTTGATCAAAAACTGGACAAATACATACATAAATAAAAATAAAACTTTTGTTCATCTGTAGAGTTGACAGTTTAAGACAATGTATTCTGCAATTGATGGCAGTAATTGTTCCACTCCACAGTTCCTGGGAAAAGAGACAGGACAAGAACAGGACAGAAGTGGGGAAGCATTCTTTTTATTTCTTCCTTTCTCATACCACAAATGTAGATTACCTTCCCTCAGTATGCATTTTCTCATCTTTCTACACTTCTTGCAACCTATTCCAGATTTGACTAATGTGTTGTAGACTATCTTGTATTGGTGAACAGTTTAGTGTATCATAATGGGGTTGATAACTATACCTTCATACTGTACATTCACTCATTTGTTCCTCAGGAGTCAATTTTTACCCTAACAATACCCTACCTAGTCTTTTACTCTTTTTTCCCTTAACTATATCTAATGGCTCCTTCATGGATCACTGCCTGGTTGTGGCGAAGGGGCTTGCATAGCTCAATGAAGCTATGAGCTATGCCATGCAGGGCCACCCAAGACGGACAGGACATAGCAGACAGCTCTGACAAAACATGATCCACTGGAGAAGGAAATGGCAACCCACTCCAGTATCTTTGCCATGAAAACCCCATGGACAGTACCAAAAGGCAAAACGATATGATGCCGGAAGATGAGCCTCTCAGGTCAGAAGGTGTTCAATGTGCTACTGGGGAAGAGCAGAGGGCTAGTACTAGTAGCGCCACAAAGAATAAAGCGACTGGGTCAAAGCCGAAAGGACACTCAGTTGCAGATGTATCTGGTGGTGAAAGGAAAGTCTGATGCTGCAAAGATCTATACTCCATAGGAACCTAGAATGTAAGGTTCATGAATCAAGGTAAGCTGGATGTGGTCAAGCAAGAGATGACAAGACTGAACATCAACATCTTAGGAATCAGTGAACTAAAATGGACAGGAATGGGTGAATTTAATTCAGATGACCATCAGGTATACTACTGTGGGCAAGAATCCCTCAGAAGAAATGGAGTAGCCTTCATAATCAATAAAAGAGTAGGAAAAGCAGTACTGGGATACAGTCTCCAAAATGACAGAATGATCTCAGTTCGAATCCAAGGCAAACCATTCAACATCACAGTAGTCCAAGTCTATGCCCCAACCACTGGTGCTGAAGAGGCTGAAATTGACCGGTTCTATGAAGGCCTACAACACCTTCTAGAATTAACACCCAAAAATGATGTCCTTATCATCATGGGGGATTGGATTGTTCAAGTAGGAACCCAAAAGATAAATGGAATAACAGGCAAGTTGGGCCTTGGAGTACAAAATGAAGCAGGGCACAGGCTGGTAGAATTTTGTCAAGAGAATACAATGGTCATAGCAAACACTCTTTTCCAACAACCCAAGAGACGAGTCTACACATGGACATCACCATACGGTCAACACAGAACTCAGATTGACTATGTGCTCTGCAGACAAAGATGGAGAAGCTCTATCCAGTCAGTAAAAACTAGACCAGCAGCTGACTGCGGCTCAGATCATGAGCTTCTCATTGCAAAATTTAGGCTTAAATTGAAGAAAGTAGGGAAAAGCACTAGGCCACTCAGGTATGACCTAAATCATATCCCTGATGAATATACAGTAGAGGTGACAAATAGATTTAAGGAATTAGATCTGATAGCCAGAGTATCTGAAGAACTATGGACAGAGGTTCGCAACATTGTACAAGAGGTAGCAACTAAAGACATCCCAAGGGAAAAGAAATGCAAGAAAGCAAAATGGCTGTCTGAGGAAGCTGTACAAATAGCTGAGGAAAGAAGGGAAGTGAAAGGCAAGGGAGAAAGAGAAAGATACACCCAGTTGAATGCATAATTCCAGAGAATAGCTAGAAGAGATAAGAATGCCTTCTCAAATGAACAGTGCAAAGAATATAGAATAGAACTATAGAATAGGGAGGACCAGAGATCCCTTCAGGAAAATTGGAGATATGAAGGGAATGTTTCATGCAAAGATGGGCATGATAAAGGACCAAAATGGCAGGGACCTAACAGAGGCAGAAGAGATTAAGAAGAGGTGGCAAGATTACACAGAGGAACTATACAAGAAAGAGCTTAACATCCCTGATAACCACGATGGGATGGTCACTGATCTTGAGCCAGACATCCTGGAATTTGAAGTCAAATGGGCCTTAGGAAGTCTGAGCAACAACAAAGCTAG